CGGGACGTGGCCCTCTGGTGGCATTCTCCTTTAATTGGTGCCAGTCTCTTAAAAACCCCAGGTCTGTAATTTCTAGGGAGTGTCCCTCGGAGCCGCTTTTAGAATGCATTAGGGGCTGTGGCCACATAGTTTAAGTGGACAAGTTTCCAACCTGCTTCCTGAGAGGGGAAGGTCTGCAAATCTCATGACTGTCCACAGCAGCCTTGAAATAAAACATCAAAGCCTCTGGGAGTAGGAATATTATCTCCTTGGGTCTCCTTATCGTGGGCTCCGAGCACCCTAATCCTTTAGCACTATAAAGCCCAGCTGGAGGCAGGCTGTATCTTGGGTAGGAATGCAGGCTCTGCAGGCCGAGGGTCAGTCCAGCCCGCTGTGCACCAGCTGTGTGAGCTTGGGCACGTTGCTTAACTGCCTAGGGCAGTGATGGCGAACCTATGACACGCGTGTCAGAGGTGACACGCGAACTCATTTTTTTGGTTGATTTTTCTTTGTTAAATGGCATTTAAATATATAAAATAAATATCAAAAATATAAGTCTTTGTTTTACTATGGTTGCAAATATCAAAAAATTTCTATATGTGACACGGCACCAGAGTTAAGTTAGGGTTTTTCAAAATGCTGACACGCCGAGCTCAAAAGGTTCGCCATCACTGGCCTAGGGTCTTGTTTGCTTAACTGTAAAATAGGAACAATAGCAACTAGACCTTCTTAGACTCAAGTGAGAGAATGTGTGCACACAGCGGGTGCCCAGCTGGGCTACTGTCGTTATCACTGCAGGATCTTAGGGACGGAGAAGACCTAGCTGGTCATCCAGCCCAGTGTGCACACCCCTCCCTCCGTCGGGTGGCCCTCAGTCTTGACCTGCACACCACTCCTGAGAGAGTGCCAGAAGCAGCTTGCAGCCCTGGGCAGCCCTGTGAGGGAAAATTCTGGCGTTGAACTCACCCCTGTCTCCCTGGTACTTCTCATGACTGGGCTGGGATTGTCGTGACACACGGGGCTTCCGTCTGGCCCAGTGATGGCGAACCTTTTGAGCTCGGTGTGTCAGCATTTTGAAAAACCCTAACTTAACTCTGGTGCCGTGTCACATATAGAAATTTTTTGATATTTGCAA